AAGAAGTGACCTACCCAAGTCATTAATTTGTTCTTTTGGAATTATAGTAGGTGTTTGTGGTGTAGTGGGCATTATCAGTTCATTGGTCATGTTGCTTTTAGAGGTTCTGTCAGTGCCACCACGATTTGAAATAACATCAACGTCTACCGTTTCAACATCATAATCTTCATCTTCAAACGTTCCTCCTAATTTTTCCAACGCGTATGTTGCTAATTGCTTTTTTAAATCAGTGTTCTATTTTTAAAATAATAACAAAAGTAATAAACACTATTATTATGATATTTTAATTTTATAATATGTTCTATCAATTTATCAATTTCATTTTAATTGTTACTTTATTACCTTCCCACTAGCCTTCAAACCAAATTTCTTGCACATTCTTTGTAGGTCAGTTCTTTTCATAGAGGTAAGTTTTGTTGGCGTTATCATTGCAATATTTTCTTCTTCCATTATTAATAATTTCTTATAAAGTGCTTATAATTAAACTATTAAAATATTAGCGAAAAAATCTTTGTTTATTGTTTTATAAAAATATAAATATAAGAATTCACGCGTATATACAAACAAAACACGAATTCACGTTCAAAAATTTACATAATGCAGATCAGGGCAAAATAAAATAATTTTTATCACGTAACTTTTGTCTCCTGCTGACACAAAAAAAGATCAAGGAAAAACGAAGCTAAAACTAAAATGGCATATGATGAATTGTACACGCTTATTGTCCACATAATAATAATGATCAATCTTACACGTATGTTGCAAAAATAATTAAAGCGGAATTTACTATCAATGAGCAAACTGTTCTGAATATGTTATTGGTTCAAGCCATCTTAAAAATAATCTTTGATCCGAGATACTGACATTGTTGGCTTTGCAATTTTGCAGAAATAGCAGGAAGCATAATATTATTATTTAGTTATATTGTGGGTGGTCATTTTAAATAATAATGTAATACATTAATAATACATGTTCTAAGAAAATAGTTTGCAAAATTAAATTATTTTTCGTGTTAATAAAGTTATTAATGATTGACATCAAAAAAACTTACAATATTGATTATTATCTTTTTTCGACCGTTCTTCATCATCAACGAAAGCATTATGGACTTAGAAATAATGAAATACAATTTGCAGGACCAATACCAGAAAAAGGATGTTCGTGTTGAGACAAAGCAAGATCTAGATCGTCAATTGGTAAAGTCGGAAACTTGTATAATAAAATTATTAGAGATTGACTTGGAAATACCATCGACAAATCAAAGTGGTAAATTATGCACAATTGAAGGAATTATACCAACATCATCGAAGATTTATCAATCGGTCAGCTAGAAAGAAAAGAGTCGGAACCTGAAACCTATGAAAAAATTGATTTTATAATAAAAAAATTGTCGGCGGATTATCTAGGAATCAAAGAAAAGTTTACTGTGATCCTGCAGGAAATAGGTAAGTATTATTTTTTTTTATTGTTTATTATTTATCAATTTCTTTCCTTCAAAAAAATTTATTAATATTTATATATCTTCCTAGTTACA